AAAAAAAAAAAAATCTTAAAAGCAGTTTATGAGAAGTTCACAGTTTTTGTTATTACCCAATAGTCTATATAAATTATAATTAGTTATTTTTGACTGTTTCTGGCCTTTTGTCCAATTTCGGCTGTAGGGGTGAAACAGTCAAAACTGTTTTACCGTCAGAGCGAACTGTTACCCGGCGCGAATTCGATGCGCAGAAATCCCCCCTCAAGAGCCCCGATCAAGCGGTTCGTTGACCGCGACTCAGTGTTGAAGCAATGGCAACATTGCATGCAGCATTGATACTAATTTTTATTTGGTAATAAAACAATTGTATAGTATATTGTAGAATATACTATATAGAACAATAGTATATTGTAGAATAAAATTCTGTATAAAACTTACCCCAATATCTTTGCACAGTCATCATAATACTTGATAGAGTTTTTCACAAAGCTGAACCCATTGACATCACACACGTAAGATTTCCCACTGGCTCGGAGGAGGTCAAACCCACACACATTTTGCTGTAAACAAAAATAAAGTATCTGTAATTTGTCAACATATCGATAGATTTATTCAGATGTCTAGATGACGTTTGTTATCCTTGCTCTATTTCTACATCTAGATATACACAAGTATTATCATCAACAAATCTCCCCGATCGGACATGATCGTCCGAACGGACGTGATCGGACGTGATCGTCCGAACGGACGTGATCGGACGTGATCGGACGTGGAAAAGGATGGAGTCACCTTCCTTCCATCAGAGTTTTATGAAGCTCACTGAAGCTCACTGAAGTTCACTTCATAATGCTCATTATTTATGTGTAAGAGCAGTCATGGCTTGATTGTGAAATGAAAATTGGGCCATATTACTCATGATCTATACTAATTAAATTCTTTTACTTCTGAACATATGGCCTGGTGAAATTAATAACTTTTATCAGAAAAAAACTGATTTTCTCAAGACACAACTTTTTCATGCTTTTTTTCAGCTATGTAAAATGTTATATTACATTTGAACATATGGCCTGGTGAAATTAAAAATGTTTATCAGAAAAAAAATGACTTTCTTCAAGACATAAATTTTTCATGCTTTTTTTGGCATTGAAAAACCTTTCTATTACCTTAAATGCTTGGCACACTTTCCTAGCTAAAAGCTTTTCTTTGGCACTCAGAATGACTGGAAACCGAACTTCTTTTCCATCTTTATCCCGCTCTACTTTCCCATCTAACGCCGGCGATTTTCTTGCTTCAGCATGTGCGTAGTCAGGACCAACAGTATACACCTGTAATTAGTGTATACAGATTTATATATACCTGTAATTAGTGTACACAGATTTATATATAACTGTAATTAGTGTACACCGATTTATATACACCTGTAATTAGTGTACACAGATTTATATATACCTGTAATGAGTGTGCACAGATTTATATATTCCTGTAATTAGTGTATACAGATTTATATATACCTGTAATTAGTGTTTACAGATTTATATATACCTGTAATTAGTGTACCCAGATTTATATATACCTGTAATTAGTGTACAGGGATTTATATACACCTGTAATTAGTGTACACAGATTTATATATGCCTGTAATTAGTGTACACAGATTTATATATAACTGTAATTAGTGTACACCGATTTATATACACCTGTAATTAGTGTATACAGATTTATATATACCTGTAATTAGTGTACACAGATTTATATATATATGTATTTAAGGATTCTATTCTATTTACATTTAGTGCAATATTGATATTTTTTTGGATAATTAATAAAATATCGGTCTTGTGCAAGTCTAACACCAAAGCTTATGATGTCATCACTCGCTGTGAGACGATGGTCGTCCTGGTAAGATGAATAACTTGTTTGCATTGATTATAAGGAAAAAACAAATTTAGATTTAACTTGATTAGGATTTTTTTAAATCTGAAAACTTCTGACAAAAAAAACCAGCAAATTGAAAACAATCTATTGATAGAACTATTTCCCATGCTCCGCGGAACAACAGAGTAATCAGGTTGATAATATGCTGATGTATTCATAAGCTAACAGGAAAGTCATTGAAAAATAACCTTTGAAGTGTTTAGTAGGTATATTGAGTCCAGGTTCAGTAGAAATGTAAATATATCAGTATAAACCTGCCCTTGATGTAGGACAGCATGGCTCTTTGTTTCTCCAAGATGAAATATGTTTCACGAGGTTGAAGCCAGAGTTGAACATGATTAATCAAGGGAAACAAAGCATACTGTTTCCCTACCACAAGTAAATACTGTATAACAGGTCTTTTTCGTCCAGTTAAACTTTTTTCGCCCTTTTCCTATAAACTCAATTTTTGCCAATTGTAAATTTCACCCCTCACATAGAATTACTGTTATGTTGTTTACCTACATTCACTTTAATGATACATTCGCCCTTGGAGGGCAAAAAAGTGATTATTAAACTGTGGCGATAACTCTTTCATCCCTATGTAACTTTCGTGGACTCTCCCATGCATTGATCTGGGCGAGTCCATTATGGTCTACAGTGGTGAAATGGTTAAATAAAACAATGATTCAATAGTATAGATCACCAGGTAGACGCACCATTGTTGATGCTGCTTCAGTCATTTAGAAGTCAACTGTAGTACTAGTGGCGATGAACATTTTTTCTAGAGGCTACGAATAACGGAAATATGATTGGGGGATACTCGAGTGCATGAGGGTGACAAGATATTGCATAACCCTATCATGTGATCAATATCATCCAATCAGACACACTATTACAAATATGAGGTATAATATTTATTATACACCTGGAATCTGGACACAGACACTAAACTGCTGAGAAGAGATATATCCAAATAGAGCAGATCTCATCAGGTATGATGATTTAAACTAACTCCACACAAGCTACACCTCCTGATTAGTCAGCAAATCAAGCAATATTGGATTGTTGATTACTTCTCGTACACCTAGAGATGATGTTTTTGTTGATGAACAATAATTGTGTGATACAGTCTCACCTTATTATCGAACTTACCATGAAATTTGAGATACACTACAAACGTGTATGTCATTCTGAAACTCATAGCTGTCCACCATCCCTCATTAGGAGGGAGACACCCTCATTTTGACCAAAATTTACCAATTTCCCTTGAAACTCCCTCATTCAAGTACAAACTCAAAATCTACATCCTGTGGTTAAATGATCTCCTAGTTACTGCAGGGTGTGTGTAATGATAATAACAGGTGTGTCTGAATCAAATCAATGCTTTTTGGACTTGTATTTTGATACATAAAAAGCCAAAGTTAAAATGAACACTTTCTCCCTTGACATTGGAAATGTGGAATGAGGGAGATCTCATTGGAAACTTTGTACAAACATTTAAAACTAATGAAACATTTGATATGTAAGTATAACACACCTTCACATCAGTGCCATCTGTAGGCATGAAGTCCTCGTAGATGTAGGAGCCGGACTGTCGCACACGATTCACCTGGTAGTAGGCACTGCTTCGGGGACCAACCTGCACCAAGACAAATCAGGCATTTGGAAAAGATATAGAAAATACATAATACTGTTTTACCATAATAATATAAAGAGATCTCTATCAGGCTACCTGGCTGTAATCACTTAAATGTATTGTCTAACTGTAGGCCTATTTTAAAAAACAAACAAAGACGTTATTCACAATCTCGATTAAACCCCTTACCCCCAAACACTGCCACTAATTTTGACTAATCCCTGACTTTGCCTTGATTAAACCCATACCCCCAACACTGCCACTAATTTTGACTAATCCCTGACTTTGCCTTGATTAACCCCCTACTCCCAACACTGCCACTAATTTTGACTAAACCATGACTTTGCCTTGATTAACCCCCTACCGCCAACACTGCCACTAATTTTGGCTAATCCCTGACTTTGCCTTGATTAAACCCCTACCCCCAACACTGCCACTAATTTTGACTAATCCCTGACTTTGCCTCACCTTCCTGAAGAGTCGTTGACTACCTCCCCCGGCAGCGACGGGGAAGTAGATGTAAACATTGTGGTCCTCGGCTGACACTGGTTTCTCAACAAACGGTTTGTGGAACACTACACCGTTCACCTCAATACAGTCCTCAGCATCTGTGTACTGACCTGGATGCAAAAAAAAAAAAAAATGGTAAATAGAAAATCATACCTGCCTCATTGTTATTTTAATGAATAAGAAATAAAATAAAATACCTTCTTGTCTCATTGCTTTTTGGAAAAATTGGCCAGAGAAACTAATAATTAATTTAATTTTGGGCAAATACATTAATATTTCAGAGACACAAGACCCAATTTCAATGTGCGACGTTTACCAACCTAAGAGGAACATACAAACAAAATTTAGAATGTAAATATAAGCATTGAACAGCATTTTTTGATAGTCATGACAGTATGAATGGAAATGGGTTACATACATATTGCATGAAGCTCCATACCACCGTTCAATCCACCGTTTATATATATATACATATGAAGAAGTTATTCTCTAACATCGTGTCTATTATACTTGACAACAACACAGGGAGTCTTAGCCATCCTCCACAACTATTTTGTCTCAGGTGACCTAACAACACAGGGAGTCTTAGCCATCCTCCACAACTACTTTGTCTCAGCTGACCTAACAACACAGGGAGTCTTAGCCACCCTCCACTAATACCTTGTCTCAGGTGACCTACCAACACAGGGAGTCTTAGCCATCCTCCACTAATACCTTGTCTCGGGTGACCTAACAACACAGGGAGTCTTAGCGATCCTCCACAAATACTTTGTCTCAGGTGACCTAGCAACACAGGGAGTCTTAGCCATCCTCCACTAATACTTTGTCTCAGGTGCCCTAACAACACAGGGAGTCTTAGCCATCCACCACAACTACTTTGTCTCAGGTGACCCAACAACACAGGGAGTCTTAGCCATCCTCCACAAATACCTTGTCTCAGGTGACCAAACAACACAGGGAGTCTTAGCCATCTTCCACAAATACTTGGCTCAGGTGACCTAACAACACAGGGAGTCTAGCCAACCTCCACAAATACCTTGTCTCAGGGTACCTAACAACACAGGGAGTCTTAGCCATCCACCACAACTACTTTGTCTCAGGTGACCTAACAAGACAGGGAGTCTTAGCCATCCTCCACAAATACTTAGTCTCAGGTGACCTAACAACACAGGGAGTCTAGCCAACCTCCACAAATACCTTGTCTCAGGGTACCTAACAACACAGGGAGTCTTAGCCATCCACCACAACTACTTTGTCTCAGGTGACCTAACAAAACAGGGAGTCTTAGCCATCCTCCACAAATCCTTTGTCTCAGGTGACCTAACAACACAGGGAGTCTTAGCCATCTTCCACAAATACTTGTCTCAGGTGACCTAACAACACAGGGAGTCTTAGCCATCCTCCACAAATACTTTGTCTCAGGTGACCTAACAACACAGGGAGTCTTCTCCATCCTCCACAAATACTTTGTCTCAGGTGACCTAACAACACCGGGAGTCTTAGCCATCCCCCACAAATACTTTGTCTCAGGTGACCTAACAACACAGGGAGTCTTAGCCATCCTCCACAAATACTTTGTCTGCTTTTTTTGGGTTGAACGTCCTCGCATTAGACGACGGAGCACAGGGGCTTGCAACGACTATTTATATTGATCTTGTTAGTCTTTCAGTTGCTGGGTATGATATCGGGATATACACTGAAGGTCTAACAAGATCAATAGTAGTTGCGTGCCCCTGTGGATGGAGCATATACAGGTACATGTACTAGGCACTCTTAAAACTATTTCAACAAAGGAGTCTCAGGACTCTATGTAGAGTACACAGTAAAATTATTTTTGAAATACCTCCAGAATTATATCGATAATAGTTAAAGAGTATTCTAATCAATCTCTTGGCTTACATTTAGCTGTTCCATTTCCCTCCCTGTTTAATATAGCGTATCTGGGATGGATGATGCCTTCTGCTTCCAGTTTTTCATTGACCTGTCTCCTGTAAGTCAATAAATAATGCATTAATGCAAGTCTTCCATAGCAATATGCGCCTGTTGTCTTATAGCATTAGGTATGTTAAAAGTGTCACCTTTTAGCATTAGGTATGTCAAAGTTGTCACCTTTTAGCATTAGGTATGTCAAAGTTGTCACCTTTTAGCATTAGGTATGTCAAAGTTGTCACCTTTTAGCATTAGGTACGTTAAAGTTGTCACCTTTTAGCATTAGGTATGTTAAAGTTGTCACCTTTTCAAATTGGAATAAAATCCAAACAATAATTTCAAAAAGTCATTAATTTTTCAAACTCTGGCCATATATCATCTTTATTTCCTCCAAATTGGAGAGCATGATACAATGATAGTACATGAATAATACATTATTTACAAACAACAATCGTGACATTCATACAAGTTCACAAACGTATATACATATTGTTAAATATCAGTGATATAATACTGGTTTATGTAGCCAGTAAAAAAAAGTAAAAAAAAAACAGAAAAAAAAACAATAATACCCTGCCTGTGTTCAATTTTCTTTAACATTTTCCTTATACATGAATTAAAAAAGCAAGTATTTGTAAGACATTATTGTAATAATTATTATTATGTATATAAGTCAAACATTCTTTTTATCGCATATACGGATTCTAGTCTAAATTCTTCTAAATTAATTTCATTTAAATTATAGGTCATTGGGCCTCCTAGAAAAATGTAAATTACTGAATAGTCAGGCAGTGAATGCAGATATGAACTGAGTTCAATACTTGAAATGCAGGCAATTATACACCATAAATTTCCTGTTTCCTTACCAACAAAAAAGTATTTTATTCAACAGAAAAAAAAAAGTTTTCCATGAATTTGTTTAAATCAACTGACGGTATTTTACAATCAGTTTTGTTTTCAGTGGAATGTCTTCAATAAATATTCAAGACCACACACTTGTGTTTTTCTAACGAATCAGAAAGCACAAGTTTATTGCACGGACGAATATATACGTCCGCCCAATAAATGAGTGCTTTCTGATTCATTAGAAAAACACAAGTGTGTGGTCTTGCTTTTATCACATACCTTCCGTATTTGGTAAAGATTGATACAAAGATTTTATAAACTTTGATATTTTTTGCAAATACCTGGATCTTTTTAGTTCGCCATGACAAGGGGATTCCCATAAAATGTAGTTCCGGCTAGTAGGTAAATACAACATTCCGTTTTGCACATGTGCAATACAGCACGTTGTATTCCATGGTCTGAAAATTGCTTGTATTACTATAACAATATTCAACAGGTATGTGATAAACACTGTGACAGATGGTTAATATCTGAAATAGATCCACATGTTCCCAAATGGATTAAATGTGAATAACATTTGTATAAAATTAACCATATCATGGGATGAAACATTACACCTGAGAAAATTGTCCAAATTTGTTTAAAAGAGAAGATGTTTTCCCGACTTACTCTCTTCATGGGGGTTTGAAACAGCCAGGAAACACTGATGTAGCTTTGTAGGGACTTGTAACTTATTTTACCCCGTGTTGCAATCTGATTATTCAATATATCAATGTCATGATGTAAAAGGGGCACATCAAAATTTCATAAAAATGAAAATCTACAAATTCATTGGGCGGTTGGTTGGTTGACAGGCTCACCCTGGACCTAAAAAATCAGTAGCCAAAAAAGTAGCCATGTTTGAATTTCGGTAGCCAATTTTTTTTAAACAGTGGCCATACTTTCTCGGCCTCCCACCGTTACAGATAGGCCCTCCATTAAAATCATTAAATATTGATTCGCCTACATGATTCCACCCATGCGGGTTTCATCTCACTGACGGAAGTCGGGGTCCTGTTCATAACTGGTAACACCTATATACTGTTATTGAAGACACAGTTATCTCCCTTAACTAAATCATCTTTTACACTACCAGTCTAGTAGAATTTTCTGAAAATATAAATGTTTAAAAATGTGTATGACCTGCTGAGAATTTTACACTGACAGTCTAATAGGACTTTCTGTAACTCGAAATGTTTAAACATGTATGACCTGCTGAGATTTTCATACAACCTGTCTAATTGGACTTTCTGAACCTCCAAATGTTTATATATGAAAGACCTGCTGAGATTTTAAAACTTTTCAATCAGACTTTCTAAGTCTCCAAATCATTGAACATGTATGACCTGCAGAGATTTTTACATTACCTGTCTAAGAGGATTTTCTGAGCCTCCAAGTCATTAACTATGTATGGCTTGCGTAGATTCTTGTACTCAATGGCCTTGTCGAGAGGAAATCCCTGGGAGAAGAAAGAGATAAGGACGTCAACCACAGGCCAGTCCTCTATTGGTTGATACAGGATGACGTCCTCCTCGAACACCAGAGTTTTGATGTGTTCAAATAACTCGAGGCGTTGCAAAATCTCAAGCATCGGTTTAGAATTACATTTCTTTGCCATGGCACACACACCCACGGTGATGGCGGCGATGTCCTCATGGCTTTCCTGCTAACACACAACAGACATGAAAAGCTCAGGATATATATATGTACTAGAGCTAACACTATACATTTACTGCCTTTATTCTAGGAAAACACAATTCTTTGTTTCTCAGAGGTTAATCATGATTCACGAAGGTGAAGCCCAAGTGGAACATGATTAAATGAAAAATTCATGATTCCCTTCAGTAAGAGCAATAAATATTTTACCATCCCTAAAAAAAAAATGTTACCATTCTCTTTGTCCACCATTGAATAACATTTAAGAAATTTGAATCTAAGTAATTAACTTTACAAAATTACTTTAACAGATCTACACATGTTTCTTATGATGGAACTCTTCAGAAATAGAGGTGTAAAAGCGAAGCACATTACAGTAAGACAGCATGTCTCCTTAATATGTACCATATATAGCTGATTGAAGGTGCTATCGTCTCCAACGACGAAAATTGGACGGTTTTCCTGGTCATCCATTTGGAGATACCCTCGTTCACATTCCGCCATTGTTCTATCAGTTCCGTCTTCCTTCCATGATCATAGCCTCTGTCATCAGTCTATATAGCTGTCTTCCTCTTCTTGTCTACATTCTCTGTTTAACTCATTATTCCTGCAAATTGAAAGGATTAGCTAATGACCACTAACTTAGATCTCTGACAGGGTTTGTACAACAATTTTACTATGAAATTAAAGGCTTTTTTAGGACCTTTTAAAGGGTTTTTTTCAGTAAAATTTAGGCCTAAAATGTCCCGCCAATTGCAAATTCTCAAACTACAGAGATCTGGACGTGTAGCCTGGATGTCTCTAATTAGCTCACCATATAAACACCTAACATCCCAAAATCTAACACTAGTTAGTTCGACCAAAAATCTAGAAATCAACTCATAAGAAACAATTAATTTTCTAGTATTTTCTTAATTCATTTTTTTGAGAATTAACACGAATAACGCCTCAAACCACCAAAACTGATAAACAATCCTAATTTAATGATCATTTAGTCTTATTCAGGGCTCATTTTCACTCTTTCACAACATTTTTGTTAAATTCAAGGGCTTTTAGGACCTTTTCATCAATTTTAGGGCTTTTCAAGATCTTAAATGGGATAATGTTGTCAACTGCAAAAATTAATCACAATTGCAAGCTTTTTTCAGAAGTTGGAATGAAACAAAACTGTACTAACTAATGGATACAATTGTCTGTATTAATTAAGAAACAAAATTTTAAGGAATTTCTTTGGAAATTAATTATAAACTTTGCCTGCTTGACCTTACTGAATAACTTATTATCACACAAAACAAGGATTTATTGTTGGGGAGTTTAAATACTAGATTTACCCCTATAAACACAGGAACAATCTTCATTGGTCAGCGATTACAAGTGTTACAAAAATATCTATATCTGAAGGTCAAGCCTATTCTCTGTGTCCTTTGGAAGAACCATTTGTGATGTTAGGTGCCTATATCTGATGTATATGAAATTGTTGCATGAAAATTACGAACTTTTGCCAAGTTGTCTTACTGACCAAACAATTACTGAAAACATGTTGCTGTTTTAAAATACAAACATACTAGCAATTTAAGAAACTGAGTACCAAACATAATTACATCTTTACTGAAGAGAAGTGACTATTAAGCATTGCCCCAACTCTAAATAACAATTTTTGATAGGGTCCAAAAAAATGATGTATGTTTCAGGTAATATGACTGAAAAAGTTCTGATAGGTCGATCAGGATTTTTTTTTAATAATTTTGAGGGGTGGGGACTAATTTAAGAAATTACAAAAATCACCAAACATCTTTTTAGGTCATTTGAATAATTATATGGGATTTAAATTTGGTTTTGATGCCTGCTGATGAAGTAGAGAGAGTATAGTTGCCTTGTTTGTTTTTCCATCAATTTGTTTATCTCAACACTGGACAAAGTGCGTACGACCGAGCAAAAGTAGCTAGCTAGTCGGGAGATAACTAGGGTCGGGGGTCGGGAGATAACTAGGGTCGGGAGATAACTGGGGTCGGGAGATAACTAGGGTCGGGAGGTAACTAGGGTCAGGAGATAACTAGGGTCGGGGGTCGGGAGATAAATAGGGTCGGGAGATAACTAGGGTCGGGAGGTAACTAGGGTCGGGAGATAACTAGGGTCGGGAGGTAAGTAGGGACGGGAGATAACTAGGGTTGGGAGGTAACTAGGGTCGGGAGATAACTAGGGTCGGGAGATAACTGGGGTCGGGAGATAAATAGGGTCGGGAGGTAACTAGGGTCGGGAGATAACTAGGGTCGGGGGTCAGGAGATAACTAGGGTCGGGGGTCGGGAAATAACTAGGATCTGGAGATAACTAGGGTCGGGAGGTAACTAGGGTCAGGAGATAACTAGGGTCAGGAGGTAATTAGGGTCGGGAGGTAACTAGGGTCTGGAGATAACTAGGGTCGGGAGATAACTAGGGTCTCGGGAGATAACTAGGGTCACGGGAGATAACTAGGATCACGGGAGATAACTAGGATCAAAGGAGATAACTAGGGTCGGGAGATAACTAGGGTCGGGGGGTCGGGAGATAACTAGGGTCGGGAGATAACTAAGGTCGGGGGGTCGGGAGATAACTAGGGTCGGGAGTCGGGAGAAAACTATAGGGTCGGGAGATAACTAGGTCGGGAGATAACTAGGGTCGGGAGATAACTAAGGTCGGGGGGTCGGGAGATAACTAGGGTCGGGAGATAACTAAGGTCAGGGGGTTGGGAGATAACTAGGGTCGGGAGATAACTAGGATCTTGAGATAACTAGGGTCGGGAGGTAACTAGGGTCAGGAGGTAATTAGGGTTGGGAGATAACTAGGGTCGGGAGATAACTAGGGTTGGGAGATAACTAGGGTCGGGAGATAACTAGGGTCGGGAGTCGGGAGATAACCAGGGTCGGGAGGTAACTAGGGTCTGGAGCTAACTAGGGTCTGGAGATAACTAGGGTCGGGAGATAACTAGGGTCCCGGGAGATAACTAGGGTCACGGGAGATAACTAGGATCACGGGAGATAACTAGGGTCGGGAGATAACTAGGGTCGGGAGATAACTAAGGTCGGGAGTCGGGAGATAACTAGGGTCGGGAGATAACTAAGGTCAGGGGGTCGGGAGATAACTAGGGTCGGGAGTCGGGAGAAAGTAGGGTTGGGAGATAACTATAGGGTCAGGAGATAACTAGGTCGGGAGATAAATAGGGTCGGGGGGTCGGGAGATAACTAGGGTCGGGAGATAACTAAGGTCGGGAGTCGGGAGATAACTAGGGTCGGGAGATAACTAGGGTCGGGAGATAATTAGGGTCAAGAGATAACTAGGGTCGGGAGTCTGGGATAACTAGGGTCGGGAGATAACTAGGGTCGAGAGATAACAAGGGTCGGGAGTCGGGAGATAACTAGGGTCGGGAGATAACTAGGGTCGGGAGATAACTAGGGTCAGGAGATAACTAGGGTTGGGAGTCTGGAGATAACTAGGGTCGGGAGATAACTAGGGTCGGTAACTAGGGTCGGGAGTCGGGAGATAACTAGGGTCGGGAGATATTTAGGGTCGGGACATAACTAGGGTCGGGAGATAACTACTAAGGGGGGAACTTGAAACATGCATTTTGTTTGGCCTATGAGAACTGTACATAGAATTGTAGACTAGAGTAAAAGTTTGCAGTTACAACTAAACAGTGTTTTAACCCTTTCACCCCTATGTAACTTTAGTAGTCTCTGCCATACACTGATATGGATGAGTCCATTATGGTCTACAGTGGTGAAAGGGTTAAGTCAGCAGAATATTCTGATTGTGGAATGGTCGAGACTGTGCACATTTCTTTCAGTACCTATACCATAACAATATGCTGAACACCATATAAACTAAATATTACATATCAGTAATTTTTGACCATTGGGTCCTGGGCCCGTATTCATGATTCTCGCACCTCAGACAGGGATATCCCACGTGATACCCCATATTAGATTTTTCTATCTCGTCCGATCTGTCTTGCACCTCGACGTAAATTTTTGCGGAATTTTCACATAGCGATGTATTCATCCGCCCGCAAATTTGTAAACACTAGTGTCACACTAGACTGTCGTAGTCGGTAAACAATTACCAAACATCAAAATTGCACATTTATTGTTAAATATTTAAAAAACCGTTATCAAAATTGCTGTATATATTTTAATGATGTTCGATAGTTAATCATATTCTAATGGAAAATGCGATCCTACACACTTACAAAAATACCTGTCATCATTTGTTGACAATCGTGCTATTACGTCATCAATTATTGATTATTTAAAATATTCTCATCTGCTCGATCAACTGTGACAGAATTATATTGGACTTCAGAATTGGTGATACAGTACGTGTTGGACAAAATGGAAGGCATGGTAACGTTGTGACAATTGAAAAACCCTTAGGCCCATATACTTTTTACGTCATTCATTCGTTTGATGGTGAAATTATAAGATGTGCAAGGCACAAATTAATCAAAGGTCTTGATGACCATGTTGTATTTGATGATGAATTGCTACGTCTTTTTGATCCACAAAATTCACCACCTAAAAACATGTCCACGAAAGATTCTGTCCTACCCACGGGTCGCAGTGCTACCGCCCCACCCCCGAGCCCCAGTAAAACAGCTTCACCACCCAGTGAAACTGCCCCAACCCCATGGGCTACCGCCATCCGCACCCCATCTGGGTGAGTTTGACACTAGATGACGAGCTACATATGAATATGCCTAAATTAAGAAGACCCCAGCCCCGCCCACCTAAAGCTTTTGTAAAAAAAGCAAACAATAGATTTATCGCTATCACAATAGACGACGTAGACGATTTTATAACAGAAAACGAAAATGAAAGCACTAAAAGAAAAACATCTGGACATTTAAAGTTGCTACATAGCATTTTTACAACCCAGCAGGAAAGTCGAGAAATATCAGATATACCACATGAAGGGCTTGATCTACCACTTGCTAATTTCTTATTGAGTGTTAGACAAAAAGATGGCTCTGAATACGAGCCAACAACTCTAAGAGGAATGTTGGGAAGTTTTGAAAGGGAACTTAAACAAAAAAAGTACGGTTAAAGTTTAATAACATTTGTATGTTTCACAAAAACAATGTCTTGGAAATCAACCAAAAACAGCAGATGCGATTTCCAACGTGGATATCAATGTACTTTACGATGCCGGGGAACTTGGTTTCAATTCACCAAATTCCATTATAAACACGCAAAGGTTCAACAACATTTTGTTGTCCGGAATGAGGGGTGGGGCAGTCGAGCACAGGGCTCTGTGCTGGGGTGACGTTCATCATGGATTCGACCAAGAAGTAAATAGAGAATTCTTGGAGTATAATGTGAGGCAAACTAAAACTAGGACAGGGGCATACATTTCGCTATTTAGAAAAGAAAAAAAAGGCATACAAAAATTTAGAAAATCCCGAGAGGTGTGCAGTCGCTATATACAAACCATACAAGAAGAGGAGACCAGCATTTCTCTGAAAATGACCACCCGTTCTATCTGGCCGCGAGTACGATAAAAAAATAATGATACGATCAGTGGTTCGCAAGATGTCCTGTGGGCCAGAACAAGCTAAAAAGTATGATGAACATGTGTGCTCCCGCAGATATCTGAAAGATCTGTGTTTACAGGAAAAAGGGCTAAGATTCTGTAACATCCAAAGCTCGGCTTACGCCTCAGTTGGGATTATGTTACAGAATCTTAGCCCTCGAAAGAGATAAACCGATCTCGCTCAGTTAAAGGTAATAGATCTTATTAAACCGTTCTCATGCTCAAGCATGGATTTTGTGCTCAAGCCAAATTTCTTGTTCCTGTTTCAAATAAGTAAAAAAAAAAAAAAATCTTGCCAATGATTTGGAAAAACCTCAAAAAGACTATTTTCAATGTTTACATTTGACTTTTTGATCATTTGACAACATTAAACGAGCATGAATACGGTTTCATGAATGTAACAGAGCGCATGATTAATTAAATTTAAATCACTGCCTCCGCTAGGGATCAAACCCGGGACCTATGGCTTACTAGTCTTACGCTCAACCGATCGAGCTAAAGAGAAGTTCTCTATAGCCGAGCGATATATTGCGGCTAGTATTTACCAGGGTTACACACTCCCCTTCCAGGAAAGAACTTGTCCTCAAGTTTTCCAGGGGTAACAGCGATGCTTGTGGAGCAAGGCCGAGTATTTTTCCTGGGTCCCTACGTGGGCGCCAATGTATTAGATGTCATTATTTTTTCAATGCCTCCGCTAGGAGTCGAACCCGGGACCTCTGGCTTACTAGTCTTACGCTCAACTGATCGAGCTAAAGAGAAGTTCTCTTTAGCCGAGCGATATATTGCAGCTAGTATTTACCAGGGTTACATGAATATGAGCCCAGAACTCACTGGTTTTGAATATAGCGAGTCTCACAAAAAATGTTTGCGTCCATCGCATCTTACCGAATGACTTTGGGGTAAGGGCCAAAAATGTAACAGTTACACAAAAAAATAAGAACAAAAACACCACTGTGCGGTTCGAGACAGCATGTCGAAAGAGAGGGTGCTGGTCATTAAATATCCATTTCATAAAGGATGTGAAATTTCAGCCATTTTCTTTAAAATTTACCAATCATTTACTTCAACAGTTTGATTGCTACTGATTTATCTTTACATCAGAAGTATACAGCCATACCCCCCTAATTATACCCTGTAACCTCAAAATCATACAGCTTTTAATCTGGAAAAATGTATCTCGGAAATGCTGCATTGCAAACTGTTTTGTGACCCACTATATGCGACAAGATAAACTAAATTGGAAACTCATCTTTATTCATGCATGAGTAATTGTCATAACTAAGCCATAAAACTGACAATATGGTGATTGATTTGAGAGAGAAACTAACAATTGACGCCTTAATATCTTGAGCTGATTTGTAATGAAAAATATGTCATATTTTCATATTTTTGGGGTGGTTTATTTTAATTAACTGTAAATAACTGTTTACTCCAGAGACAGTTATCACTCCATCCACAGGGGCATGCAACTAGTTATTATAGGCTTTCAGTCGCTGGGTACGTTATACCCTAATACATATTAGTTAATACCGTCCCCGGCGACTGAAAGCATATAATAGCTAGTTGCGTGCCCCTGTGCTTTCAGTCGCTGGTTACGTTATACCCTAATACATATTAGTTTATAACGTCCCCAGCGACTGAAAGCCTATAATAACTAGTTGCGTGTCCCTGTGCTCCATCCTTGGGGATTCGTCTTACCGAAAGAGGAAGAAGAACTGTATTTGTTTATCCAAGTGAAGGAAACATAACATTACACTCCAAGTTGGACCACATGCTTTTAAATTTCTACCAAAAATGACACACTGGCTTCCCTGTGACCACAGGTACCTGCATGTGGTTTGTAAATATGTAAAATATAAAAGAGTCTGCAGTATTTAACAGGCATCGGTACCAGTTTTGGCAGGTTAACTAGCAAATTCCTAATCTACCTTGTACACTTGGTAAATCGCAGTAAACACTGGAGTTCATGTAATTATAGATCACACTGTTACGTTTCGTTCGCTGCTTTTCATATAAATATTGCCAAATTACCTATATGTTTGCTCAAATACATCATGTACCTTTCAATGAATGTATAATCAATCATTCAACCGTTCTCGTCTCTCTTCAGCAGCCAACCGGAAGTAAACAACAGGGTCAAACCTATGGGGAGACAACTCGATATTATTTTACAATTTAAACCGCGGGAATGTTTAAATTTATTGATATGCCAACAAAACTAAACTTTCTTTCAGCCTAGGCGTATGGAACGCCAAATTAACATATATTCAATAGCTTCAATTATTTGAAGATAGGTGCAATTATTTGAATATATGTTAATTTGACAAGTTTAGGTTGTCAAATTTTCGGAGCGATCGGCTCCTTTTTCAAGACACAGTGAAACAGAACAGTTACATGTACATATACATCATATTACAAGAAGATAGAATTGATATACTATAATTGAAAATATAGCTATTATATAAAACCAATAGTCCCCTCGGCTAAAGACAGCCGAAGGCAGCAATTAAGCTGAGAGCATCGCGAACAAGGAACGCTGATGTAGAGGACCTATTCTTGCGCAAGATGCACTATCATATAAAGTGAGTCAACGAGAGATATCAAAAACGTGGAACATGTGCAAGTGGAAATCTGGCCCGGTAAATGTGAAAAATCTCCAATTTGCTACGGAATGTCTCATTAGTCGCCTCTCAATACTGCGATGGATCTAACAGTCACAGCAGGGGGTCCACACTTAGTCGCCTCTTTTGGTTTGCAGGAATAATGCATGTGTCTTTTTTTGGTTTGCAGAAATTATGCAAGTAATTATCAAATAAGTGAGTGCAGGAGGAATAAGTAGATGAAATGGCTAAGATACAGTATAAATCTGCAAAATTAATCCGCTGACAACGGCTGTTGGTCACACACACTGACATGAAGCAGCAGGCAGTTAGCAGATAGCAGACCAACTGTGCAGTAATGCATCATTAGGTCAAATACCCCCTGGAAGGAAAACGAGCGGATGGCAACCGCATATCGTTCGTTCATACCTCGAGGGTAGCGGGTTTCCAAAACCGTTCTCTAGTACGTCGTCTCCTTTCATCCCATGTAGGTCAATTTTTCAACTATGGCTAAGCATATTAAAATGCCTTGCCACAGGGAAGTCTGGTTTGTTCTGCTTGATGGAGCAGCGGTGGTTGTTGATCCTGACATTGAGCTGGGTGCAGGTCTCGCCCACGTAATGTAAATTGCATTTATTGCAGATAATAAGGTACACCACATTGACTGATGTGCATGTCAGCGTTTGTAGTATGTGATACACTTTGCCGTTGATTGTACATTGCGTATATATGTACGTCTCTGTATGTAGCTATTTCAGACTCGGACCAGAGACGTAGTACTCTATGTCTCTGTTCTATATTATATAACCATAATTCTACTGAGTTAATCTAATTCCGTGGTTTAGCACAGGCGTTATCAGAATGACGCAAAATATCGTATATAACGTACGGTCATAGGTAATTATGTCTTTATACAGCGAAATACGACCGTCATTTCCCATCAGGAGAAACATTTATACAGCGAACCCCTGGGAGATGTACCACGCAAGGAAGGAGCACCCTACGGACCAATGGACAGGATTCACTTCAGAGCTGAGCTGAGCAGAGTAGAAAAATTTCTCAAGAACCTGGACACGAGCAAACACTGGCCTACCCAGAGATCGCAGAGAGTTGTACTTGATGGAGAATCGTCAACTGAAGTCCCAGTGGAGTCAGGGGTCCCCCAAGGTACAGTCCTGGGTCCCCTGATATTCCCTCTGTACGTCAACGATATCGGCGCAGGAAACACCTCTATTGTCAAGCTATTCGCAGATGAATGCCTCCTATTCAGGATCATTGACTCCGGCGCAGACACCCACCAGCTACAGGAGGACTTAGCCAAAATGGTCAGCTGGTCGAACAAGTGGCTGATGAAATTCAACGCCAAGAAGTGTTACACGATGAGGATGAAGAGATCCCGAACCAACATAACAACAGGAGCCGACTATAACATCAATGGGAGTACACTCCAGTTAGTAGAGCACAACCCATACCTTGGAGTGGAAATAGCCAACAACATGGACTGGAAGAAACATATCAACCAGATGACCACAAAGGCCAACGGATTACTATCCTTCCTGAGGCGCCCCCTTGGAAAATGCAAACAGGAAGTGAGAGAGAAGACCTACCTGACCCTAATCCGACCAAATCTTGAATATGGAGCTTCAGTCTGGGATCCACATAAGAAATACCAACATGAGTCAATAGAAAGAGCCCAGCGGCGAGCAGCTCGATTTACAACCGGCGATTACTCGCGTTACAGTAGTATAACCGGGATGTTGAACGAGCTACACTGGCCACCCCTACAGCAGAGACGGAAGGACAGTCGACTAACCAACCTCTACAAAGGCATCCACAGCACAAACGCACTAATCATACCACCATATATCAGTAGTAACACCAGAAGTGGAAGGAGACAACATAACCACGACTATATCAACATACAATGCATCACCGACACCTACAAATACAGCTTCTTTCCAAACACCAACATGGAATGGAATGGACCGACACCTACAAATACAGCTTCTTTCCAAACACCATCATGGAATGGAATGGACTACCATCAGAGGTCGTCGAGAAGCTGACTGTGGAGGCATTCAAGACCTCGCTCCACAGTCATCTTGCAGAGTGAATGTGGATCCTGTAAATAGTTTTAACTTTTTAATCGGTTTTTACGAACTTATGTGGAAGACACGCCACACAAGTCTACCTGCTAGTTGATGCTGTGCGACGGCCCTTTGCAGTATCGCCGTAAATAAATATATTTTTGTATCTATGCAGTATATGAAAGAAGAAAAACCGTCTCCAAGCCGTTTTAAATGGACAAACGGCGTTTTTTTTTTTAAATATTGTCAATGTTGGGGCCTGTTCGTTAACAATTTCGTGTATAAACCCTGGCGAACCTGCAAATGTGACGGTATGCAGGCCTTGCAAGGCTTTGTCAAGGTCCGACCTTATCTAATAAACGAACAACAGTGGTCCGACCGGTTTGGCCGTTTAAACGAAAACGTCCCGGTGCACATGTACAGTCCCTAATAGAACCAAAGGCGTGTAAAGAATCCGGAATCATTCCGGTCCGTATTTTAATGTTTTATATAAACTTCCTGTTTCCGTAAAGGTGAAAACAATCAAATCTCAAAGAGAAAAGCTTTTTGTATTTCATTGAAGCATCGTCAACTGCTGATGACAACGATGCCTCTTTATGTCAACATCTTAACACCAGCAACTTCAAGATTATTAACGAGTTTTGGCAGCTCTCGACTCCATCAAATGTTGAGAAACACACACCGAAGATGCTTGTCGACGTTACGACTTGGAAATACTCGATGTCAAACTCGTACTGCATTGGACAAATTAAGTGCTTCTATAATAATGGCAAGGGGTGCACAATTGACTTCACAGTACATTCGCATCCCTGCCTTTTGTTTGTCAGTACAAGGATTCACTACCAGCTCACAAAGTAACGGCATGTCACCTGGAGAAATGAAAAGACAACTCCAGTCTGATTCTGGAATGTATGGTGTGAAAATTCAAGGACGAACATATGATATAAGAAATACGTCAAAACTTGTGACCTCATTCTCGTATTTACCTGGATATGAGCTGAACAGGCTATGGCTTTTACATGTGTTTCCACAATATTATTTAGGAAAAATTGATACAGTTTTCTCTGCACAAGAATTCATTGGGGGAGCAGACATGGTGAGTACATAAAAAGGTACAAAGTTTATTTACTAATTAAGAGGTCCTGTCCCACCTATACACAGTAATCTCTCTTTAACTTCAGTCTGGATATAATTATAGCGCATGTTGAAGGAGAAATAAATAACACAATTCTCTCTGTGCTGTTCTCTTCATTTATTGGGGCAAGGACTGTGCACAGTACTTAATGATAGCGGGAAAATCCCCTCTAAGATACAATGCTAAGTGTAAGGGAAAAGTAAATGAATAAATACACAACGTCTTATATATTGTATAAATAAATGTATTGTGTTCTACACGAAGACATATTCAATAATCATTGATTCAGATACATAATTATTATTTACCTTTGACTAGGCGTCGTAAAACAAAGTCCGAAAATCCATGTTGTCTGAGAGAATTGTGTCCCGTCGGTATACACTGGACCCCAACTGGCATAAAGCCCAGCACCGACCTAACACCCCCCTTTTATACACTCACGTGAACGTCCCTTTCACATCATAGCTTTGACACATGCATGCATTTCACCCTCAGACCCACTTCCAGGCCAACAACCGGACAGACAGGTAACAGACAAATATAGACATGGTACAAATTCAGGACTCACATGGACGCTATAAATAGACATAGGGAAATACCCTATAACACACAGACAGCTGGACATGCATGTCCTGTAAACAGTAACGTACATAAACAATGAAATTACCTTACGACACACAGTTGGGCCAGGAAACTTCGTTGATCAAGTAGTGCGATAGTATTATAATCCGGAGTCCATGGTTAGAATACTGGTTTTGTCCTGATAAGTTTTTACACTCAGAACACTGTTGTTGATTATATTTTGTTCATTTTTCTCAAAAAAAGTGTCCTATACTTAGTTACATCTTCTAGCATTGGAGTGAGGATCCTTACGGGTACAACACATGGCTTCAGGTTGATAGAGAACATGGAAACATCCATGATACAAGATATGCAACATATGAGACAATCTAAGACGGAATAACAATTTTATTTACCCACAGTTCATAAAACTAATTGGGTGTGTTGTCACCAAGGTGTAAAATGCACTAGCCAGGAAATACACCCTTGGCTTTTGTACTTAATTGAACATGACCAAGAAGCTTCAAGTTCATATTTTTTTAAATGAATTGTGTCGTATTTTATGTCCCATTTGAATGACATAGGAGTAACTTCAACCTGAATTGAGAGCAACCAAAGGGTTACTTTAAACCCATGACAGTGGCGGATCCAGAGACCTATCTGGGGGGGGTTTCCTGAAGCCAAAAAACCCCCTCTGGATCCGCCACTGCATGAATTAAAGACATTGAAGCCATTTTGGTCTCTGTGGAGTAAAACCTAAAGAAAGAGAAAATGTTGTGTTTGAAGAACTGAACATACCCTCAGTGAGATCAATTCAATACAAAATACATCAAAGTAAAACTGTTGGGGTTTCTTTTCCGTGAACAACATTTTCCACTAGCGGGAAATATTTGAACATCTTCTCCAAGTTGCTGAAACTGCTTGGTCATGGCGAACTGTTGGTAACTTGGTACCCCATAGGTAGATATTCCCCTTCATATCAACCTTGATGCAGTATCTACCTGTAAGTATCCACACCTATCCTGTAATGGTACACTATCCTTTGACATTAAGGTCACAGTGACCTATATTTTCCACTTCAATGACTTTGGTTAGACTTTGTGTCAATCCAGACCCGACCATTAAATATTTAACTGAGTTATACTTGATATTAATTTAATTTACTGTGAAATTGATTTCTGCTCCTCAGGCTGTGGAACCCATACTCGAGGCTGCTGGAAGCGGAAACTTCGAAGAACTTTATAACTTCATGGATGAAGAGGTACACTGTTAAATCATTGGTCCCCTTGTCTTACACTGAGAAGGGAGAGTGGGTATTTGTTTGTGTAGCTTGAAATTTCCATGGGGGAGATTACTTATGGTCAGAATTAAAAGCACAAATAAAATGAGTGTATGTTCACCATAGGGGAAAAAATAACACTTTTACGGTGGATCAACACAGCACGAAAAAGTTGACAAAAAACTATACATGCACTTATTTACTTGTAGAATTTAGTTAAGAAATGTTAAAAACATATTTTGAGTTGTTCTTTCATATGAAATTGTTTTATTTTAGAATATGAGAATGGTAGTTAGGGTAAATCACAGGTTGAAAATACTAAACTTGAGTGATGTTCAAATTTAGTGAAGTAATCTATTTCAACAAATTTGCTATGAACCATCTCTGGGACGAGGGAATCAAATGTTATATAAAGGGAGGGTGTTCCTCATGGTGCTGAGAGTCAGAACCCAAAATTGGGAAATATTTTCAGTATGTAATTAATGGGAAGATTTTGTCATGATTACTAAAATATTACATTAAGTGAGGGATACATGTCCTCGGGCCTCTTATTCACAATTCCCTTTTTTTGCGACACTTTTTTTCTGTTTGTACAGACTGTAGAGGAGATGAAGATTAACCGCAAGAATGTTAATGTAGAACTAGTCAATATGCTGACACAAGATGTCATCTGTGACATGGCATTTCAGAACGAACGCACACTGTGTTCATGTGATATTGAACAGCTTAATGACGGAGGTAAGTAAGTTATCTCAGCTTGGTGAATGTTTGTAGGGGGGATAAAATATGAAAGATTTAGAAACAAACTGATAAACAATTATTAAATTTCCCTCGCAACATAACTTTTGGGAGATATAAAGCTATGTATACACATATGTACAGTGAAGCCCTACCTACTCAAACTCACAATTACTCGAAAACCCCATCGTCAGATACCCACGGTTGATTTCGCTTCAGTACAGTACTCACTCATCACGAGTGATAAGTGAGTACTGAAGCGAAATCAATCGTGGGTATCCGACGATGGAATACCCTGTTTCACGAATAGTTCGCTAGGTCCCGATCGTGTTAACCTCGGATTACTTGAACTGTCATTGCTTGAATACTCTGTCATTCTCCAACTCTGATTTATCCCCAATTATTCAAAACCTTAGTATTTAACCTATCAATTTGTCGATGTATCACTGGTAAAAATGTCATGAAACTGAATATTTAACCAGCGTATAGCCTCATTTTATATGGTTACTTATCAGGGTACACACAAGTAATTGAAATTGGAGTTCTGCACGAGCGGTCATGGTAGTTATGTGTTAAAATTTATACTTAAACATCATGTAGCCTCATTTTATATATTTAATTATCAGGGTCCTCACGAGTCAGCATAACTGGCGTTCTGCGAGGTGATGCCATGATTTCCACAGAGATGGGTCAGCACCTGTACCGGGCCATCTCCCCTACATATACATGGATCAGCAGACCACACGAAATCCCTATGAACCTAAACATCCATTTCCTATTTAGGTAAAAAAAACAGTTTATACCAATAAATGTTAACTTGAACTCTTTTTTCCTCATTCAGGCAAACATGTGACAGTGTCTGTGAGCTTTCAGATCTGTTGTACATCTAAGTTCTATCATAATCCTTTTCTTAAACCATAGTCAAAGATTCCAATATGGCTGACGAGCCTCGGTTGGTGAGTGGCTAAGACAGCTGACCATATATGGCCATTAGCCCTCCACCACTTGGTAGGGGGGTTCAAGGCCTGTGTTGCAATTGGACAGTTACCAGCTAAATGCTGCAGGTTGGTGTTTTTCTCCAGGGACTCTGGTTTCCCTCACCACCAAAACCTGGCTTGTTCTTAACCCATTCACCCCTAAACTCACATTTGAACCTTACCATATCAAAGACTGGGAAGGTCCTGTTTAAAAATTTAGGAGTAAATGAGCTAAATGGCCATAGCTGTTAATAGGATGTACATTGTAAAGCACAAAAAAACCTATATGGCCTCAATGAAAACTTGTGTGCTGTATTTTGTAATGGCACGACAGCTTTAATTTGCATCCTTTGGAAATCAAGGGTTCCACTCTTGGGATCTGTCATGGCACAATTGATAGCTCCAGACTTACACTCCAGTCTTACACTCCAGCAGTAGATTTTTAGTGATTTACACGCTTGTTATGTGAGGTTTCACATGACATCTACTTCACTAGTAGACTAATTGTTTTTAAAAGCTCGTAATGGCTGTGGCCTCAAGGATTGTTTTACAAACTTGCTGTTGCCTGAAAGCATACAAAAACTAGTAGTTGTTGCCTCAAGGCATTCACAATACTAGTAGATTATAATTGTTTTACAAGCTTGTTATTGCTGTGGCCTCCATACATACACAAAACTAGTAGAATATAGTTGTTTACAATCTTGTTATGGCTATGGCCTCCATACATTAAAAAGAACTAGTAGACTATAGTTGTTTACAAGCTTGTTATGGCTGTGGCCTCCATACATACACAAAACTAGTAGAATATAGTTGTTTACAATCTTGTTATGGCTATGGCCTCCATACATACACAAAACAAGTAGACTATAGTTGTTTACAATATTGTTATGGCTGGGGCCTCCATACATACACAAAACTAGTAGACTATAGTTGTTTACAAACTTGTTTTGGCTGGGGCCTCCATACATACACAAAACTAGTAGAATATAGTTGTTACAAGGTTGTTATGGCTGTGGCCTCCATACATACACAAAACTAGTAGACTATAGTTGTTTACAATATTGTTATGGCTGGGGCCTCCATACATACACAAAACTAGTAGAATATAGTTGTTTACAATCTTGTTATGGCTATGGCCTCCATACATACACAAAACAAGTAGACCATAGTTGTTTACAATATTGTTATGGCTGGGGCCTCCCTACATACACAAAACTAGTAGACTATAGTTGTTTACAAGCTTGTTATGGATGTGGCCTCAATACATACACAAGACTTGTGGAATCCATACATACACAAAACTATTAGAATATAGTTATTTACAAGCTTTTAATGGCTATGGCCTCCATACATACACAAGACTTGTGGCATCCATACATACACAAAACTAGTAGAATATAGTTGTTACAAGGTTGTTATGGCTGTGGCCTCCATACATACACAAAACTGGTAGAATATAGTTGTTTACAAACTTGTTATGGCTGGGGCCTCCATACATACACAAAACTAGAAGACTTTAGTTGTTTACAAGCTTGTTATGACTGTGGCCTCCATACATCCACAAAACTAGTAGACTATAGTTGTTTACAATATTGTTATGGCTGGGGCCTCCATAAATACACAAAACTAGTAGACTATAGTTGTTTACAAGCTTGTTATGGATGTGGCCTCCATACATACACAAAACTAGTAGACTATAATTGTTTACAAGCTTGTTATGGCTGAGGCCTCCATACATACACAAAACTAGTAGACTATAGTTGTTTACAACTTGTCATGGCTGTGGCCTCCATACATACACAAAACTAGTAGACTATAGTTGTTTACAAACTTGTCATGGCTGTGGCCTCCATACATACACAAAACTTGTGGCCTCCATACATACACAAAACTAGTAGAATATAATTGTTTACAAGCTTGTTATGGCTGTGGCCACCATACATACACAAAACTGGTAGAATATAGTTGTTACAAGCTTGTTATGGCTGAGGCCTCCATACATACACAAAACTAGTAGACTATAGTTGTTTACAAACTTGTCATGGCTGTGGCCTCCATACATACACAAAACTAGTAGAATATAGTTGTTACAAGCTTGTTATGGATGTGGCCTCCATACATACACAAAACTAGTAGACTATAGTTGTTTACAAGCTTGTTATGGCTGTGGCTTCCATACATACACAAAACTAGTAGAATATAGTTGTTTACAAGCTGGTTATGGCTGTGGCCTCAAGGCATTCACACAAAAAGTAGACTATAATTGTTTCACCTGCCTGGCTAAGTTAAAGTTAAAGTTAAAATAAATTGTTTCATAATTGTTGTAAAATAAATGAATATTTTATATTATATTTATCTTAATCTACATTTTGGCATAAATCAATATGTGGACTCAACCCCAAGTATCAGCACAAACTAAATACAAATTTACAAGTTCCATATATTGAAGATATGTTTTGTAGTAGGACGAGGAATATTGATAAAGATAGTGCCGTTGCTGGAGCTCGAACCTGCAACCCTTGGCTCGTTAGCCTGATGCTCTACCGCTGAGCTAAAGGGAAATTCCCTACAGCTGACGCTTGTAAGGCAACCTAATCAATGCACATCTTTGACATGTTACATGTATCTGAAATACAAGGATTGCATCTTGCTTTGTTGGATTTCATTAGATGATGAATTGAGTTGGTCTTAAAATAAATTCAACATGAACTGTCCCAGCTCAATACACCCTCTTAGGAAATTGATGAACAGAAGATTCCATTCTTATACCCTTGTTACTGTTGTGTTACAGGTGTGTTAGGGAGTATACTGACGATGAAGCACACCAGGACTGGGTCATCAACGGATTCACCTTCACCTTGGATGTCCCCGACCTGTTTATAGCCTACATACTTTAATTGTGGATTATACTTATGATGATTAAATTGATACTGACTTTCACAGCTGAGTATTTGTTATCTTTGCTGTAAAAGTCTACCTATTTTCGGGGTAAGGATAATTTATATTCATAAGAGCTACCCCAAGATTTACCGTTCTCAACCACAGACTCTACCCCAGATCGTAACAAGCTAATGAATACCTTGAAGTTCATATGACACATATATAGATGACAAGGACTCAGCAGACTACCGTCAATTGAATTTAATTAGGTCTCGGAATTTTTAGGGAACCGACTTACAGAAATTGTGAATCGCGCAAATAAACTCCCAAAGATAAATTCCGGAAACAAAATCGCAACATTTTATTCCCACGAGAAAAAAAATGTAAACAGTAAATTATGATATTTACATATGTTCTGCATATTAATCTACCAAAGTCAGCTGTTTGTTATGAATAATGACGTCATAATCGTAGCATTGGTGACAGTTGGCTCATACCATCCTCGATACTCCATTGCCCTTACTCATGACAATGCTGTCACGCTAAAGCATGGATCCTGTGCTCAGACAGAAATAACTGTAACTCTGTTACTCACTTAACCCTTTCACCCCTATGTAACTTGAGTAGACTCTGCCTGCATTGATATGGATATGGAGTCCATTATGGTCAACAGTGGTGAAAGGGTGAAATCATGTGACACAGTCAAAAAGTCCAATGTAAAAACTGAAAATAGTATTACGGCCTAAGTCTTTCCCAAATTCATAAAAACATCATGGAAAATTGGTTTATCAGCGGAACAAGAAAATGGACTTCACAAGAACAAAATCCGAATTTGAGCATGAAAACAGTTTCATGAATACAGACACACGGGTTACGCTCACTTGCATTCTCTGCACTTCTAGAATTTGTCATGGCAAAATCAAAGGCTCAGTATGCACCACCTTGTGGATGAGACCAGAAGAAGATTCTCGCGGTCACATAATGCTGGAACCATTCTTAGGTGGTGGGGATTCAAATTTGTACAAATTGAGGAGCAGAGAGGTGGGTCCAAAAAGGGTAGTTTGACTATTTTGATTTAGGCGACTTCTCTGAAACAAAGGAAAGAATATCAACCATATATAGTTGGTTAGAAGCATTCGAGGAAGTTTAGGTTCAAATCTGTATGAACAGAGGGAATGACCACCTGGGGGCGGGGCCAAAGGGGGCAGTTGGGCCATATTGCTACAAGTGCTTTGTTCTCCAATATTTTGTTGGATGGATTATCAGTTTGTTGGATTTAAGATTTTACCAGTCGATTAGATGACCCATAGGGGTTTGAGGGTGGGACCAAATGGTTGTTTTAAGCTAGAAATGATTAAGATACCCATCCTATAACCATATATACAACTGCTGAGTACAGTGTAAAGAAACAAATACACATGTTCTACCAGAAGAACTCTTGCCTTCCCATGGAGACTAAAGTTGCTGGGTCATAACTTCATAATTGTTAGAAACAAAATGACAGACACATTTATGAAATTAGAATTGACTCTTGGGTCTTGCCACACCCTTAGTGACTTGTTCCCTGGGTCTTTACATGGTTAATCTTTGAGACACCCACCCTTATACAATATATAAATTGCTGAGCATAAAGATTTGGATACACATATGATGCCAGGAGAATGGCACTATCCCTAGGATCTTATTTTCATTAAGAAGATTTTTAGAGAGAGTGTTAGACATAGACCCGAGCAAACCAACCGTGGAAGAGGTCACCAAAGCCACCGGGACCCTTAAAAACGGACAGGCACCAGGATGTGACCAGGAACACGCAGATATGTTAAAGGCAGAGGAAGTGATCACACCAAGAGTGCTAACAGATATCCTACAGAACATCTGCCAGACAGAGACAGCGCCCAGCCAATGGAAGATTGGTCTTATTGTGAAGCTGCCCCAGAACGGAGATCTGACAGACACCAACAACTGGATCGGAATCATAATACTGTCCACCACAAGAAAGGTCGTCTGTAGATTCACCTTGAACAGAATGACAGCGATGGTAGACCCTCTCCTACGGAAAGAACAAGCAGGGTTTCGGAGAGGAAGATCGTGCGCAGACCAAATCTTCACACTGAGACAAATGCTGGAGCAGAGCAACGAATAGAACGCCACAGTATATGCCAATTTCATCGATTTTGCCAAGGCATTGGACAGTATCCATCGACCTGCACTGTGGAAGATCCTTGCACACTACGGAATACCAGTGATCTGTGGCAACAACCTGACAGACTGCTTCCCACTACAGACTGGGGTGAGGCAGGGATGTTTGCTACCTCCCCTGCTTTTCGTGATGTGCATCGACTGGGTGATGAGGAAGACAACCGACCAGACTAACACAGGATTGCTTTGGACATTTGAAAAGTCACCTGAAGATCTAGACTAAGCAGATGATATTGCTCTCCTGGCTCATCGCTTCCAGTATATCCAATAGAAGACAAACGACTTGGCACAGTGCGGCAACCAGATAGGTCTCAACATCAACGCCGCTGGAAAGACAAAGATTATGAAGGTTAACAACAAAGTGGAAAGAGATGTGATGACTGGGAACACCTTAGTAGACGAAGTTTGTCTACCTTGGCAGTAAGATCACAGCCAATGGAGACTCAACATCTGATGTAGAGAACAGAATAGCCAAAGTACGAGCAGCCTTTGCAAACCAGAGGAGCATTTGGAAGTCATAGGTCATCAGTCATCAGCATCAAGACTAAGATCAGGATCTTCATAGCAACATCATTGGAGTCCTCCTATATGGTGCTTAGTCGCGGAAGGTGACCAAAAGCATCGTCCACAAACTGGATGTCTTCCAGACCAAATGCCTCCGACGGACTCTGAAGGTCTTCTGGCCCAACACCAACAGCAAAAAAGAACTGTATCAGAGAACCTCAACATCACCAATCTCTGAGATGATCAATATGAAACGATGGAAATGGATTTGACATGTCCACAGAATGAAAACAACATCATTAACAAATATTGTCATGAGATGGACACCAGCAGGAAAGAGAGATAAAAGGAAGACCAAAGGAAACATGGAGGCGATCAGTGGAGAAGGAAATGAGAGAGCCTGGATGGACTTCAGGCCAGATTCACCAGATTGCGGCAGACAGAGATGGCGATCCTCAGTGAAGGTCTTATGTGCTTCCCAGCACGAAGAGGATAACGTAAGTAAGAGCAGCTTTGTTCCTCTTGTGACACAGAACCGAAAGAAAAGAGGTTCTCATAGAGAGAGAGCTTTGTTCCTCATAATCCTGGTCCAATGAGGAAACAGGTTCTAATATAAACGATTAGAGCAACCTTGCAGGGACTGCTCGAAGGACATTTTTCTGTGGACCACAGGCGCTGCTAAAGCATGTCCGCATCTGAGGGCCTGGTAAGCGCCAACTTACTCCCTCACGTCGACCGAACACCGACTTCATCAGTGAGTGTAGACGTAAAACCCTTCACCCAACCAACCAACCAACCATTGTTCTTATAATCCTGACCCAAAGAGAAGCGTAAGGATTAAGAACAAAATTGTCATATTCATATTTAAAATATGAAACATATAGTTCCTCAGACAGTTGAATAACGAAAGGGTCAGACGTGTATTTGAAATAAGAGACCATCCTCGTTCCCCGAGAACCTATTTACAATAAAGATTTAATCTGGATACAGAACCAAAACGGTCAGATCCTTAAGATAGTTCGAGCAACCTCATCCTCCACACTCCAGGGGTGTACGCGCACTTACGTTGTCTGCATCCCTGGAATATGTTATGACAAAATCGATGGCTCATTATGCACCACCTCGTTGATGAGACAAGAAGACTAGTTCGATCATTTGACTTGCATCAAAATAATCTAGCGGTCGTGTTTCGGTAAAATTGATTCACTTTGAAGTCAGATGTTGCTCTTCTGTAATCTTCAAACGACAGATATCATTCTAGCGACTGCTCAGGTGGGTTTTTTAACCCGAGACCAATCGATTAAATAGATTTATTCATGTCTTCAATTTTGCTATGACATATTCCAGGTGTGCAGAGAGCGTAAGTGAGTGTAACCCCTGGAGTATCGAGGATGAGAGAGTGTAAGTGAGTGTAACCTCTGGAGTATCGAGGATGGAGCAGCCTGTTTTCCAGAAATCTGGTCCAGTGCAGTGAGGATTAAACTTGGAGACACTGTACTTAATTGACCGAATCTTTATATTGATAGGGGAGAGCATCCTCATTTCTAATAAATCTGATATCCGATTGAGAAAGGTGGTTTCTTCCCGGTGCAGGCAAAATGTCGTCTTTGACAATATCGGTAGTAAAAATAAGACCCTCCCAGTAGCGAAGCTGCCTTAGGCTCGAGTAGGCACGTGCCTACACATAAATTAGTCGAGATTCTAATTGAAAAACAAAAAGAATATGTGTTTTCACTAAAATAAAAGATTATATTATATCCAGGGTGTTTTGTATACATGTCTAGTACAAAATATGGAAAATCGTGTTTTTTCCACATACAAAAACCTTGTAACACATAAGTGCAATACAACTTTCAAGCTGACATTAAACAATGATATTACCACAACCAACACATCCTCGATATCCAGGGTTTACGCTCACGTTCGCCCTCTACACCCCTGGAATATGTAATAGCAAAACTGAAGGCACGAAGAAAGCTGTTTGATTGGTCTCGGGTAAAAGAAACTGACCAATCGCTAGGCTGATACGTGTCATTTGAAAATTACAAAGGAGATATGCCCGACTTTAAAGCCTGTCAATTGTACCGTTACGTGACCGCGAGATTATTTTGATGTACATGAAAGGATCGAAATAGTCATCTCGTCTCATCCACAAGGTGCTGCACATTGATATTTCGATTTTGCTATGACATATACCAGGGATATAAAGAGCGTAAGTGAGCATAACCCCTGGATACCGAGGATGGAACCAACAGTGAACAAGTGTGTGGTCAGAGACCCAATCAGAGGATCCCCCTTGCAGTGAAACTGTCTCGTCTTCCGAGGCTACTCAAAATAAGGCGCAATTCTTAAATTCC